CTCGACTCTCAGTTTTTTACCTCTTGCGGTCTCGATTCTCGGTTTTTTACCTCAGCGGTCTCGTTTCTCGATTTTCGACCTCAGCGGTCTCGACTCTCGGTTCTCGACCTCTTGCGGTCTCGACTCTCGGTTCCCGACCTCTTGCGTTCTCGATTCTCGATATTCGACCTCAACGGTCTCGACTCTCGGTTTTCGACCACGATGGTCTCGACTCTCGGTTTTTGACCTCTTGCGGTCTTGATTCTCAGTTTTCGACCTCAGCGGTCTCGATTCTCAGTTTTCGACCTCAGCGGTCTCGACTCTCAGTTTTCGACCTCTTGCGCTCTCGATTCTCGATTTTCGACCTAAGCGGTCTCGATTTTCGACCTCAGCGGTCTCGATTCGTGGTTTTCGACCTCGATGGTCTCGACTCTCGGTGTTCGGCCTCAATGGTCTCGATTCTCGATTTTCGACCTCAACAGTCTTGATTCTCGGTTTTCGACCTCAGCGGTCTGGACTCTCAATTTTCGACCTCAACGGTCTCTCGATTCTTGGTTTTCGACCTCAGCGGTCTCAATTCTCGATTTTCGACCTCAGCGGTCTTGATTTTCGGTTTTCGACCCCGACATCAGATCATTCAGTTTCCGACCTCCGTGGTCTTTCGGGTTTTGATCTTGAGATCTCAAAGCTCATTTGGAGGATATTTCAGTGGTTATTCAATGGTCATTCGACTTTCGATGCTCGATCTTAGTGGCAAGTTGAAGAAAACAACTCGAAGAGGCATTTCACTCTTGGATCGAGTTATGCTTACTCGACCAGAGTGGGGGGACTAGATGATATAGGATATTATACTAGACCCGGTTTAATGGATAAAGCGGATACATATTGGAAGATAAACCCACTAAGACATCTAAGCCCGACGATAGGGGTCAGGCCCAACTTGGGCCCAAACGGTACACTCCCCCTATAAAAGGGGGCCAAGGTACCTCATTCTCTCACTCTCTATTCATTCCATACTACACTCTTTATCTCTCTTGATCTACTTAGGCATCAGAGGCCCGACGCCGGGGCTACCCCCGGCGTTGGGTTCTGCAGGTACGGAGGCCGGTTCGAGTTGAAGGAGCCCGAGTGAATCTTATTCACTTCATTATTATTATTATTATTATTATTATTATTATTATTATTATTATTAATAATTTTAATTTTATTATTATTAGAGTAATGCTATTTAGTCCACTTGGTTGACAACTTCGGTTACAACTGATCAAGTGTAAATGCTTTATTAAAAATTTAAAAAATTATGCATTTACACTTATGTTGTAACCCATGTTGTCATCCAAGTGGGTTCTATAGCATTACACTGTTATTATTATTGTAATTACACAATTAATAAGATAAAAATATTACATTTAATATTAAATGACTACTAATTTTATTTTTTATTGTATCATATAATTTTTATTATTAAACTTAACAATTATATCTTACACTATATGATATATGAAAGTTACATAAGCATAAAATATTATATTGTAAAACTTTTTGTTCAAGTCATTTATTCTAAAATTAATATCATATTTTTTATCTGATTAATAAGTTATTTTTTAAACAAATTAATTTGTTTAATGTCATAGTAAAATTCCACAAAATCGCATATGCAATTGTTATAATAATCTAATATTTTTTAGCTAATATTAGTGACTCATATACAATTAAATGGTTAGGTACAATTTATTTTAACCAATGATCGAATTTAAAAACGTAATACATTAATTTAGCGTAGAATTTTAATATTATATGCATAAATATAACTTATAATATTCTATGTTTAAAATATAGTATCATTACCTAATATATAATTTTAAAATTATATGCATACAAGTGAGTTATAATACTTTATGTGCCAATGCACATGGTGGAACACTACTAAATATACTATCATTACTTAATATATAATTTTAAGATTATATGCATACAAGTGAGTTATAATACTTTATATGTTAATGCACATAGTCGAACACTACTATTTTAATAAATATGAAATATATAAATTTAATTAAATTTAAATTTACTCTACTATAAAATAATTTATCTTACTTTATTTTAGTTTATTTTATTTAATATTATATAATTTATTTTATTATGTTTTAATTATTATAAGTTTATAATATAATTTACATTCTATTTAAAATTTGATTTGATTTATTCATATGTAGTGTCTATATATATATATATATATATATATATATATATATATATATATATATATTAAATGCTATTATATTTAACAAATAACTTGGGTTGGTGTGGTGGTTGCAGTGTTATCATAAAACCTTGAGGTACTTCGCTTATACTACCTCCTATTCTTTTTAAATGTCATTTTGACATTATCAACTATTAACAAAATAAATGTCGTTTTAGATAAACAACATTCAACATAAATCGTCATGTCATCGGTCACCTCTGCAGACAAAGCCCGAAATTCTGTCTGATGATTTGAATTGCCAAAAATAAACAAGATTTTGTTAAATTCCAAAAGTTTGGTTAAAACGTTAAAAAGTTTTACGGTGAAAGTGTTGGAGGGTTTTTTTTCTTCCATCCACCCGCCTTGCTTTCGCAGACCTCACCTCAGTTTTCTCCCGTCGTCGCCTACTATCCTCTTCTCAAATTCACTCAACCGGCCAACCCACGCCACCAGCCACCGTCGCACGTCCGCACCAGCAACCATCCTCCTCACCTCCGACACAGTCCTCGACACGCCTCGCGCCTCGCCGTCTTCGAGACACCGCTCCGACGTATCGACGCCTCGGCGTCCCGCGGCCCCCGCCGACTCGAGCTCGACGCGGACTCCACTTTGCAGATTTGGAAGGTAATTACAATTGAAGATAAATTAATTTTTCTCTGTGTTTACAATTGAAGGTAAACTTATTATTGGAAGGTAACAGTGAATGTTTGATTTGGTTGTTCAATTTGTACACTGCTGTTATTTGAGGTAATACACTGAGTTTGATTGAGGCAATATCCAGTTCTTGGGGTTTCATTTTGAGGGGGCGTATTAAGACTGAACACTCTGCGCTAGGCGCCTTTTATCCTAAACTTGGAAACATGTTGTAGGCTCGCCCCCGCGGGCCAGGGCGTGGCGGCCCACCCAGGCGAGGGCCAGGTCGCGGGGCGGCCTTCCTGGGCCCGTGGCAGGTCATGGGCCAGGTCGGGGCGCGAACTGAGGGTCGCGGGGCAGGTCCGGGTACTGAAATACCCGGCCCGACCTGCCCCATTGCCATCCCCGACCGTCAAACAGTTCCCAATTTACTGAAGAACCATTGGAAAATAGAGGACGAAAAATTTGGCGGCTCTAATTTTGTCTTGGGTGAGTAGTTTTGTTAACAAACATGGTATAGGAAATTACTTTTTTCCCAAAAGAACTACAAAATTGCAGCTTGAATTATTTGGATTCAGCTCTTAGTTCTGATTTGAATTTTGTTTTTTATTATATGTTTCAGAACCGAGACTGTCAAAAGGCTGAATTGTATTGTGTTCTTTTTCTTGCTCGAATAGATTTACGAAAAGATTACTTGTTGTATGCTACTTTTGCTTCGTCTGTTAACTGTATGACAAAATGTCTCATACAACACTCTCAAGCACACGCACACAAAAGGTCCCTTTGTAAGCTTTTGGATACACACCATTGTTCTTCTGCTAGTGCATGTTGTTTTCTACATTTTTTTTTTTCAATTCATTATTTAAGCTTTTAAATCTATTCGTATAGGATGTTCTATGTTTCTCTGAAGCTTTTTAATTCATTTACGATCATGCTTTTAAGGTTTGAGCTAAAACCTAGTAATGTGATATCAGTTAGATAAAAGGATTGACATTACAACATTTCACCACCAAAATGTATTTAACAGGAAGAAAGAAGCGGTTGAGAAAGGATAGTAGATAATGGCACTGAGGCGTATGCTCGGGTTTTCTGATGGCGAGTTGATGAGGTCAGATGCAAAACCGTGTTCACAACTGATGGGCCAAACCGCTGCCGTTTTTTCATTTGGTGGAGCACTCGGCTTTTGGGTCCTCTGCCGCCTGCATTATGGTACGTTATCTAATTTTATTTACTTACTAGTGTTTAAGGATGACGGACAATTGTTCGACCTCTTTTGCATGACTCGATCCTACTTTTTTGCCACATTAAATTATTCGAAGTGAATGTATATAGTTTTGGTGTCGATGCCCAGGTCCTAGAATAACAAATCCTCGTAGTCTGAGGTGGGCTGCTTGTGGAGCTGTCTCTATGGGTGCAACCACAGCTATGCTCGTTCGCCTCTTCAGTCCTGAATGCGAGCCCCAAAATATTGCTGCTTATGACCAAAATAAGTGATGTTGCTATTGGCCTGCGTGCTTCCGAGGGATGGCTGTCTTTTGAGAATCGGTTTTTTGAAACTCAGGACTGCAAAATGCATGTGATGTGTAATTTAACTATTTTTTCTATGCCTTGTGAAACTCTTTGCTCGAGGATGCGCGGCTGTTATGTTACTTGCCTGCTATGCTAAACACAGATCTTATGAGTTATCGACTAAGTTGTATAATTTGCCTGTTGAGAATTTTTTTCCGATGTTTTTTGCATAAGTTCTGCATTCAATATGTTATATTAGGAATTTGTTACATCGGCATGAACTCATCATCAGTTGCACATAGCAGCATAAGAACATCTGTAAAACCTCATTCCGGCAAATAAATAGCACATCACATATCATATTGTCAACATAGGAAAGATAAACTTAGGTGCACCATGGTATTAAATTACAACATTTATTGAAGCTCTCCATCTGAGAAAAAAAGGTAAACGAAAAACAGAATATAAGTACAACATAAGATGTTCTAAATTCTACCCAATCAAACATTGTCCTGTATAACCAGTGTTTTAAAATGCGTATAGCGTAATGCGTCGCGTTTTGGTCTTTATACTGCATAGCGTAAATAGCGTTGCGTGTTGCGTAAGCTATTTGGGTTCAACATTTTTTTTTGTAGAAATAGTACAAGTATATTTGCATATAATAAAAATGTATGATTGATTACAAAAATTATCATAGTATTAGAATTTTGAATGACTTAAAATGGCATCTAAGGATTAATTTTCACAAATGTTTAATGTAAATATCATGATAATATAAATATTTAATAATAAATTGAATATATTAAAAAGAAAACAACAACGAAAATATAATGAGGTAAGTCATAGTATAATTTTAAGTATATGCATTTTAATTATTATCATTTTATTTAACTACAACTTAATTATAACCATTAGATATAAACTTTTTATTCTTTATTTAAATGTTAAACATCGAAAAATTAAATAATATAACAAAAATAGACAAAAAAATATTGCACTATTCAACTTAGGTCTTTGCATTTTCAAACTTTTAATTTGAAATCATTATTAAATTTTTTTAATTTTTAATTGTCATTTACAAATATGATTATGATCCCTAGAAAATACGTTTTTTAATATTTTATTATTCAAATGTCATTGCAGAAATTTAGCGCAATGTAGCGCACAATAGCACGAAATAGTGCAAAATAGCATAAGAAAGCGTGCTGTTTCAACATTTCGCATAAACTTTTTGGGAAGAACGCTAAATATATAAGGCTACGTCGCGTTTTTCCGAAAAAAAAAAAACTATATAGCGAGCTACATAGCGAGTTATTTAAAACAATGTGTATAACCTTAAAGGCATGACTGACTACACTTTCTGTAGGTGATCATTCACCAAAGTACAAGGGACTAAGCAATAAAATTTTATGTTTCATGTGAGCACTTGTATGTCTTTACACCTGAAGGGGAGATTCATTCATTCTCTCGATACATCGTTTACCAAAAGTTTAACTGTTCTTTGCCATCAATTAGAATTTAACCCGTCACGTTTCCCCGAGGCCCTCCTCGAGTATGCTGCTCACATAATCTTGCCCGCCAATATTTCCTTCGACTTTCTCACTGACCATTTTGGTACTTGCTGAGGAACCCATTAGCAACGCGTGTGTAGAAGCTTCTGGAACCCAACCCCTTTCCAACATTAAATCCAACAAGTGACCAGCGTCATTCTTGTACCCCTCCCTCCACAGCCCATCAATGAGCACGTTATACGCAGCCGAATCAAGTATTTCAGGCTCAGACATGAGCTTATCTAACAAAGGTACAACCAAGTGCACCTGAGAGTACTTAGCCAAACAAGCCAACATATGTGAATCAGGCATTAAGCCTTCACTTAGCATTAATTTCAAAACCGACACGCAATCACCTTTCCGGTTCAAAGCACTCATGCAATGAATGAGGATATAGTAAGTTTCCGTGTCAAAAGCACAACCAACTACTATCATTCGTGAAAGTATCAACAAGAAATTACTTTTCTGGCCCAATTCGGATAAACCTCTCAAAATACTATTGTAAGCTGAAACTAAAGTAGCAGTGTCACTGTGGTAAGCAAGTGATAGTAGTTTGATTGCGCTTTTAACCGCTCCACCCGCACACATTTTCTCGATCAACACACTGAATGTCATCGACTGGAGAGAACATCCTTTACCAGACATATAATTGAACACTTCAATAGCTTCTTGAACATTTTCTCCCTTACAAAGACACTCCATTAATTCACCATAGCAGAAAGAGTCCAAAACCCAACCTTTGGATCTAATATGAGAAAACAAATCTAAAGCACGTAAGAACTTCCCACTTTTGCAGCTGCCAAGAATTAGAGCGGAATAAGAAGCAGAGTCGGGAGGATAACACGATTTAATCATTCTACACAGACATTCTGATGCCATATTGCTAACTGCATTTTCACAAAAGAATCTGATAAGAATATTCCAAGACCTAGCATCGGTTATATTTCTCTTGAGCATTTTATCAAACATTAACTTCGCTTCTGTAAAACCTCCACTAACACAATAGGACTCAAGAAGTGCATTATGAGGGCCTGCTTCGATGATATTTCTCTCCTCCAAGAAGCTTTCAGCTTCAGTGAATTTATTTGATTTGCACAATCCACTTACTATATCCAAGCACACTCGATCATCGGGCAACAAACCACCATCCACCATCTCCTTACAAAGTTCAATAGCATCATTCAAATGAAGATACTTGCACATGCACCTAATCACAGCCCCATAAGCGACAGAATCCGGAGCTATACCAGAAGCTTTCATCATTCCAAACAACCTCAAGCTTATCTCTAAATTATGCAGAGTACAAAACACAGGTATTATACAACTATAGAAACGAGAGTCTGGCTCACATCCACTTCTAAACATGTCCTCCAATATAAGAATCGAATCTTGAACTCGGCCCACGGCGGCAAGACCGCCAATCATAATCTGGAAAGTCCTGATATTAGGAACACACCCTTTCTTCTCCATTCTCTTGTACTGATCAACAGCCAAATCCACCCTTCCTGACTCTAACAAAACCTCCATTAGGTAATTCAGTGTGTCAACATTCGGTAAAGTTCCAGATTTCACCAGTTCTTTGTACACGAACAGCACATCCTTAAAACCCCTCTTCCCCTCCACAAGCGCACCCATCAACCCATTGAAGGCATCTACGGAGGGCTTAAAGCCCGTCGTGTTCAGAACGTAAAGAACCCTTAGAGCCTCACTGAGCCTTCGATTAGCAACAAATGAATCAATTGACGCCAACAGACACTTGTCAAAATCCCGGCATTTATTATCCCTCACCATCTCATTACAAAAACTCTCAATCTCCTCCAGTTTTCCCGCCATGCCCAGCTTCAGTATCATCATGTGATAGGTCTCTGCTGTGTGGTCGAACCTCTTTTGAAGCGAGGCCCATTTGAATATGTTCATCGAAGAATTTAAGTCGGCTGTGGCGCTCAATACCGTGATTAAGCTGTCTGGGTGAAGATTTTTTTTCAAAAGTTGAAATTTTGGTTCGAGGTCGGAGGTGTTGGATTGGATTTCTACAGGTTCTTGGGTGGCCTGGAGTTTGGCCGCGGCGCATGATAAGGAAGAGAGGTGAGCGTCAAGAGAAACCCACTTGGGAATTCTCCTTGACAGAGCTTGACATGAAATATTTATGGCCATTGGAGATTCTTGAAGCTATTTTCCATTCGGGTTACATGTACATGAAGAAAAAAAAAAAAAAA